GTACATAAATAAAATAAAGAACAATCAAACTAAATATTAAAATAAGAATAATTATTTAGTATTATCTAGTGAATATCCACGGATTGATCTACGGATTTGTTATTTAATTCGTGAAATATTCGCAAATATTTGCAAATTATCCGCGGATAAGTTTTACAAATCCGTGATACTTAAAAATGATCCGGATATCCGCATTATCCGGATATTTGCATTATTTGCACGGATTATCATCCGCGGATCGTTTCTCTAGCCAGGAGGGGCTTGTTTTTGGGTACAATGACATATTGGACATACGAGCTGCAGTCGGGATATTCGGGCTAGAACTAACTTACCAATAAAAATTTATTTTACTACCGTATAGTCCCGAAACTAAGCACCGCGTGATATATATGAATTTATTAGTATATAGTGACAAATAATATAATAAATTCCATGTGACAAATAAATAAATTACTATAAAAGGAGCGTGTCACGGGTGCGAATATACGGTATTTAGTTTTAATTAATTAGGATATAAATAACGGACGCGACACTTGATTAATCGACTTTATAAATAAATTCTTATTTCGTATTATCTAATATTAAACTAAAACCTTCCGCTCACCTTTTTCAATAAAAATTAAATGATTTTCAAAAATACTTTTATTTGTTACGCAAAAACGAGTGTGACTGATGATAATCTTGTAAATAACTTAAATAAATTCCTAAAATATTTATTTAAATAAGAAAAAATCATTTATAAATATATATTAGATATGATATGATATGATATATCAATTTATATAATTATTATCGTAAATATCACGTGACGTTAATTTAAAAAAAATTATTTATATTACAAGGGTCTAGGGTACACACCAATTGGAAAATCTTACGAATAACTTTATGTTATAAATATTAAAATGAATCATTACTCTAACTCGAACCTTCTTCTTTGTTTAGAAAGTCAGAGAAACTTTTTGTTTCAAGAAAATAGATGTTTCACCTTATTATTAATTAGGCACAACCAACCAATCAGATAAAAAGATACAATTAAATTTCAGCCTTGATGCTAACTCCGTCAATATTTACGCATCGATTTCGTTTAAGAGCTCACTTATGGATAAAGATTGACAATTTGTGTGAATTATTTGTATGAATGGAGGTTTTCGATTTATACATGATTAACATCATGATTTGGAAGTATGATGGGAATGTTTTTTTCTAGCCCAATCCCAGTGATGTTTTCTTTCGGAGATTTCTAGTTTTTTTTGTAAGATATAAAGATATAGAAGAACTTAAAACATTGTCTTGTCCGACATTACCCGGCGTAACCAATTTTCTTTTAAAAGCAGCAAAAGGATTTTCAAAAAAAAAAAAAAGAAGAAATTCCTCCATGAATTGCTTAATCGATAATGAATTCGAGGTCAATTCAATTAATACAACCGATTCCGTCCAATTATCAGATAACCATATTCAAGAATATCAAGATATTCTTAACTTTTTAGCGGATGAAAATGTTTTGTAAGCTTACGCATGGTTTTTTGATGATTTTTTTGAAAATTTTCTGGTGCGCATGCACACTCCAAATTCTGACGTTTTGGTTCGTTTGGTCTGTTTTTCCAGAGCTTATGGATGTGTTTTGAAGGAGACAATTCGTTTGACGGAAGATTTGGTCGGTCGTCGAATTACGAACGAAGTTGGTATGATGTCGTATTTTATTTAATTATCACTTGAAATGTTTTTGAACAATTAAAAATGAAATCTTCCTTTTCAGTGATAAATTTCGTTTCTCAAGCCGCCATTCACCTTTCCAAGCGTCAATGGGTTCATTACGGAAATTCAACTGCGCGACTCGAACTTCACCTGTAGGTTATTACATCATAATACACATCAACTTTAAAAACGTGTTTTCGATTGTTTCTTATTTTCGCATTTTGATATTCACAGCCGCGCCATGTCTTCCGTATTACACATCTTCTCACAATTGATTGCTAACGAGTCCGGTCCAATGATTGATGCAAAGGTCCGTGAAACACTTTATAAATCCGTCTCAAAGTTCTGGGCTACTTATCGCACTTCAAAAATTATAAATGCGAATATCACGTTCGCCCTTCGTGAAATTCGAACTTGCTTGCGAAAGATTAAGGATGATCGTAACATTGCACTTGGTGTTACTGTAAACATTTTTGATGTCATCTCTAACGTTATAACAAAAGAATATTGGGCCGCTGCGGGTTCTTTTATCAAAGCTTTAGACGTGAGTACCCGGTAAAAGAAAAATTTTTTTTTTGCATTTTTCATATTCGGTCGCTAACCAATCAAAATCTTTTAAATCGTTTTGCGCTACGCCACTTAACTTTTGTAGTTTGAATACCCCGCTGGAGAGTGGTATTATGATTGGCAAGAAATACGAGTAGAATTTTTCAAATTACGCCAACAACTTTCGGAAATTGATGATTCGGCAAAATCGAAAACGGTTACTCAATTTTATAATCATTTATATAAATTATCAACCGAGGAATTTGAAACTGTACGAAGGAAAAATACAGTAATTAGGAATTTTGAATATAAGATGCTTAAATCTGGAGGGTAAGCCGAATATTATTAAATATATATATATATAATAAAATAATGAAATAAAATGAGAATTTTAATCTTTAATTAATTTGAACGTTATTTTATTTTTTTAGGAGTATTGCAGGGTGCTCATTACCCGATCATATCGATACCCTTTTGATCGGGTATTTGGATTTAATTCAACGGATGCTCACGGAATTCCCTCAAATGAGTATACATACTCTAGAAATTATTGGATTTTGTAACGAAATATATGACTCGCACGTTAAAAAACAATTGACGTGTAAAGCCGTAGAAGTTTTATATGTCATAAACAAAATTAGCAAAAAGAAACTGGTCCGAAATATGGTAATTTCTTTTTTGGGTCTTTTTTTTTCTCTCTTTCAAAGAGATTTCATTCCTCATTTATGTAACTTGTGTATAATGTTTTATTTTAAAAAAATAGATTAAAGTGACTTTCAAGTCTCTTCAACAAGCCACGCCTCCCGACTCTCCAACTTCGGCAAATTTTTCAAATTCATCACAAGAACGAATTAAACGAAAAAATCTAATTCGCAGGGCTCGCAATGCTATTATTGTTAATTCAAACCTAAGTGAAATTCCAAACAGAATAATGACGAATTTCCAAAAGATTCGTCAAAAACAAGTATCTAGTTTGCGTAATCGTATTGTGGATAATGTGGAAAAATTGATGAAAGAGAAGACTAAGGTCGGTAAAAATGTTCAAGAAATTAGAGAGATTAAAGAAAAGCAAGATAATAAATTGTCAGAGGATAAATCTGATCAAGAACCGTTTTTACTTAAAGTTAAAAGATTCTTGGGAAAAAGAGATGAAGAGAAAAAAACAAGATTGAACAACTTGCAAGAGACTTCAAGAGTTGGAAGAAGTAATTCTGATCAAAACCAAGAAAAGCAAGATAATAAATTGTCAGACAATAAATCTGATAAAGAACCGTTTTTACTTAAATTTAAAAGATCCTTGAGAAAAAGAAATGAAGAGAAAAAAAAAAGTTCGAACAACTTGCAAGAGACTTCAAGAGATGGAAGAAATAATTCTGATCAAAACCCTTTATATAAAGATAAAGCCGAGAACAAAAATAATAATATTTCTGCAGGGGAGATCGGCGAAGTGAGCGACAGCGATTTAACCATTGAAAATGAATTTACGCATCAAAATGATTTGGATAATGTTACCTCTTCTAATATTACAAACGAAGAAAACGAACATAATGATAACATTTTACTTCAAGAGGAAGTGAAAGAGAATCCAAATGAAATGGAAGTTGTCGATGCTGATCATGAGTATACCTTAGAAGAAGTTGAAGAAATTCTTAAGCATCAAAATGATTTGGATAATGAAATTACTTTTACCTCCTCTGATGTCATTAACGAAGAAAATGAACCTGATGAAGTAATAAAACAAATCAACAATTATTCACAATGTGATGAAGAGAATCGTCACATTACAATCGATGAAGATGTTGAATGTTTTTATATGCAACATATGGATAGTGTCGAACTCGAAGAGATCTTAAATCATCAAAAATATCTGGAAGATGAACATATAACGGATAATGCTTTTGTGAATGAAGATGTACACGATTTAAACATTTCAACGAAAACTCCCAAAACCAATGAAAACACTTTTGTAGAGGAATTTGAAGGGTTATACCTAGATAATTTTGAATTTCCGATTATAGAACAACCAAAAATATTAACGCACGAAGTTGAAATAAATAATACATGTTCTTATCAACCACCTCCTTATGAAGAACTGTCATCATCCAAGTCAGCATTAGTGAACTTTTATGAGTTTAGGAAATTTCTATTAACTCAACATGAGGTGGATTCGTCTAATCCACTATGGAATGTAGATAATGTTAATGATTTTGAGGAAATGTATTCAAAAACATTTAAAGATTTTGATAAAAAAGTTCAATATATCAACTTCATCAATGATGTACAATATAATCAAATTAAACAAATTAATCAATCTTATGAAAAAGCACCTTCTTATGAAGAACTGTCGTCATCCAAGTCAGAATTAGTGAACTTTGAAGAGTTCAAGAAATTTTTATTAAATCAACATCAGGTAGATCCATCTCATCCATTATGGAAAGTAGATAATGTTCAAGAATTTGAAGAGATATATTCAAAAACATTTAATAATTCTAAACCTCAAGATCGATATGTTAATTTTGTCAATAATGTACAACAAAATATCGTAATTAATATCGAGCGACAAGATCCTAATGAAATTGAATCTGCATTTTTTAATTTATGTAAAAAAGTTTTTGTAAACATAGTTGAAAATATAACTGAAGGTACTAAAGCTGCGAAAAAGAAAAGTTTAAATGAAAAAAGTTGAAAATTTTTATATAGTTTAACATAATTAATATATTTTTTTACTATTTTTTTTTTTTTCCTTGTAATATTTTTTTTAATGCAAATAAAATCAAAAGTACTTTAATAATAGATAAAATTTAATCATTTATAATAGCAGATAAAGAGATCGAATGATTTAATTCAACTTGCTTTGAAAACTTGTATCCGATTCTTTAAAGGTTATTATCAAAAGCGACTTTTTCAGTTATTTAGAAACGATTAAAATATAATCCTTGAAGAATAAGCGTATTTATGTATCAATCAAATTTGTAACTAGGACAATCTGAAAAGAATTTATAAATAAGTGGTTAATCTAAATGAAAAGTTATCAAAAAGACAGAACCTGCATATTAGTCCAAAAAAAAGTTTTAACTGTTCACCTTACGTTTTTATAGATTCATTATATTATAGTTTCGACGCATTATAATTCCGGCGATACACATAATGCCCGCAACCTTAATCGCTATTCTATAGCTTACATGTCATAATAATATATTACGGTCCTTAAGGCACGCATACCAGGACCGATCCCTAGGGTGGCAAATTATAAGATCATTTTTTTTTTTAAAAAAAAAAATTTATAATGAAATGATGTCATTTGATGTCATTTGAGGTCATTTCAAGGTCAACAAACACCGTTGACAATTTTCTTATCAATGAAAATCATAAAATCCTATGCAAAAACTTCCTTTATTTAGTGACATCCGAGCTGGAATAAATGTTGACAAAGTAAAGGTAAGAAACTTATTAGTTCAGCCATTTGGGGTGAGAGAAAATTCTTGAGAGCTGTAGTTCGTTTAGGAATGCTATTACGTGGAACATTAAATGTTGCTCCTGCAAATATAATTGATGAAGCAATTGAAAAAAGCATTAACTGCTAGAAATGAGGTTATTAAGCGTAATACTCAACGTGCACAAAATAAATCTATTAATTCTTTATCATCTCGAACTTGTAAAGATTTACGACAAACTATTACCATCCGTTTCCAAAATTTTTCATCTTCAATATGGGACCGTTTTTACATCACCTACCTGCACACTCCATCAATGTATACTTCACATCGCCACAAGCATATCACAATAAACAGTAACAATCGTGCATTATGGCCTCTTCATTTTGAAAAGAAGCGTAAAAATAATAAATGGTCTATTCCCCATAAGGTTTCTTGCGATAGCAAAGCTTACTTATTTACGCCAAACAAATAGTGGAAATTTGCATGGTTTATGAGATACAAAAACATCTTCGCGAAACCCAAGCGGATGGTATTCATGCAGTCTCTATTGATCCTGGGGTTAGAACACCATTCACATGGTACTCTCCAACAAAAGGTGTAGGTAAGATTGGTGAACATGACATTGGGCGTATTATTCGTCTTTGCACTTACATGGACAAATTAATATCACAAAAAAGCAAGTTTAATAGGTCAACTTCCAAACGCAAAAAAAAATAAGGCTAAAAGACTTAATAAAGCAATGGTATTTATAAGGCGAAAAATTTTTCATTTGCAAAATGAAAATACATAGAAAAGCAGTTTCATTTTTCACTCGTGAATTTGATGCTATCATCATTCCACCTTTGAAATATCAAATATGACAAATAGAAAAACAAGGTAAAATTACACGAAAAAAACAGTTCGGCAAATGCTTGGTTGGGCACATTAACAATTTCGCCAACGTCTAGTAGCCAAAGCAGAAGAATTGGGAGTTCACATCATTATTCAAAATGAAGCTTATACCTCTAAAACTTGCAGCTGGTGTGGAAAAATTCAATAAATTGGAGGGTCCGAGGTGTATAATTGCCGATATTGTAGAATTGTAATGGATCGAGATGAAAATGCCGCTTGGGGAATCTTTCTCCGGGCTTTGCTTAATGGAGCCTTGATTCTCTCCGGGAATCGTGCAGGAAATAGTAGTTTTACTTAGCAATGCTTAGGTTACCTATTATTGATGTATTACAATCCATCCGATAAAAGAAACTATATCCTCTCTTCAATTTATCAAACACAAATCGAACATTTTCATAGCAACTACAACTGATGCAAATTACTTGTCTACTTTAACCTAATCAGGCTGTCATATAAATATGCTTCTAACATTGCTAATTAAGTGAAAAACAATTAAGATTTTCTACCAAGTACAAATTGAAATATTTTTAAAGTTAGTTGCATCATTATATTCGAATCCAATCCGAGCCATGAATCTAGTAAATTACTTGAATATCTTTTTAAGTTTTAAAAATATATATATATATATTTATTTATTATAATAGGCTTAACAACACTTAATTCACAAGTGTATTAATGAATGGTGAATCAAAAGATAATGCATCCAAAATATTTAAAAAAAAATTTAACCATCAATCAGAAAACAGCTTTGAGAGGACTTCTGTGAATAAGGCAAAGAATGTTTTGATCACATGCATTTTATCTGAAAACAACTGTTTTTATTAATTATTATAAATTCTTATGTTTTTTAAACCTTTTTTAAGTTTTCCTTATTTATCTTCATTTTAGATTTTTACATAGTATGAAAAACGGCATCTATTTATAATCATGCTGCCTATTGTACCCCTGATATAGTACCCCTGATGAGTATCGTATTTTTAACGTGTAGAAATAAATTTTATTGGTTGATCATTAATTTTAGTTTTTTGTATCAAATGTGTTGGTCGCCTTTTTTATTTAAGATCCTCCCTTTCCTATAATGTAATTTTTTGCTCTATACTATGCTTTTTAAAAAAGTCTTGAATGACGATGTCGATTACTGGAGGAGGCTTAATACGGAATGTGAAATACGTGGGATATTTTTTTTTTTTCGAAGAAATTCAAGATGCGTCAACGCACCACTTGGAGGTGGAAACTTTGGTGAAAAGCAGAGCAAAGAACAAAAGAAGAGAGATCATAAAATATTGTTGATAACACCCTTTAAAAGCCAAGCCAGTCAACTGATTCAAATCGTTTCAAAGCACAGTTAGAAAGTAAATTTGAAATTAACGTGACCATTGACGAAAGAAAAGTAAATAATGAGCATACACGTTCTTGTTGATAATAGAAAGGAATTTTCTTGGAAAAGAGCTTCTGCAAAAATTAATCTTCTATTCAGAATGGCTTATTCAGGATAAGTCAAAGAAAATTTTCAAGATTGTTGAGACCATAAAGTAAATAGTCATTGGTAAATATTTCCATTCCCGTTATATATTTAATATTGGAATAATACAAAGCATTAGACTTTAATTTAAAAAGAGATGAGAGTTCTCTTGCTGAATGGTTAACAAAAGCTGTGGTAGACCTTATTTCATTTTATCTTAATGAGGAATTGGTTATTAGCACCTTGTTAGATTGGATTGAAAAATATCCATCACATTAGTAGCGAAGTCTGTTGATAAAGCTTTCTCCACGATGGAAACGGGTGATCGTACCGATCAAACCGCGCTCTTGATTTCGTACTTCGTGCATTAGATGTTTTGGCGGATACCATACTTACAGAATTACCCCAACTCAACGTAAAAAATGTGAACATTTAATTACTGAACTTGTATATCAACGTGACCTTATCCGTCAACTTCTTAAGAACAAGATATCCTCACCAAGATTCGAATGGTTATATCAAATGAGATTCTACTTTAATGCATGTCTCGAACATCCTCTTGTTGGTGTTCCTCTTACCGCTTTTTCCTCAACTTGGAGGTTCACCCTTCAGTCCAGGTAAACATGTGAAAATTTTTGTCGTCTTCTCGTCTTTATTATGAATTTTTTTTCGATTTCCTTAATTTATTTCTCCAATTTTTATTTTTGTCGGAACTTACTTAACCCATGTCAAAATTTGAAATCTTAATTGCCGGTAAGTAATGGACGTTTCGTATCATGAAACCCTATTTATAATGTCAAAATTATAAAATTACATTCATCATTTAATAGGTACGGGAAAAACAGAATCGGTTAAGGTCCTTGGTGTACAACTTGGAAGATTTAACCTTTCGATTCTGATAAAATCAAAGAGTTCACTACCCTTCCATGCTTTTCTAAACTTACTAAACATATCGTAACTTACTTATCAGATTGGAAGGAATTTTTGTCGACTGATCTTGCTGAAAACTTGTGTTCCTGTATGTTGGGATAGTGGATCACCTGGTAAGAATAAAAAAAGTTATATTTTTTTATTATAGTTTCTCGTCATATTCTTAATTCTTAATTTTTCTTTTTCTTTTTTTTTTTTTATTGTATTAGCTTCTGTCTTACAATTACGAAAGATTTTGCTTGTTAAATGTTTCAGACCAGATAGAATAATTTCTGCTGACTCAAAATGAATCATAATATATTTCATGCTTGCGTGGTTACATGCTATTGTTCAGGAACGTCTTCGTTTGGTTGGACCAAGATCTATGAATTTAATGAATCAGATCAAGATTTTGCAATAAACACAATTGACACTTGGTTGGACTCTGTCGCTCAGGGCAGAACTAATATTTCTCCTGATAAAATCCCTTGGGAAACTATGCGTTCATTGATTACTATTTCTGGTCATGGTGGTCGTATTGATAACGAATTTGATAAGCGTCTATTGGAATTTTTTGTTAACAGCTTATTCACGCCAGCTGCCTATGAACTTGAATATACACTTGTCGATGTTGAAGGCTCTGACAACTTGGTTACACCAGAAGGTAGTAAGTTAGATCATTTCATGAACTGGGTTAATAAACTTCCCGAAAGACAGCCACCTATTTGGTTAGGATTGCCAAGTAACGCTGAAAAGTATTGTCCACAAGCAAAGGTATATATTAAAGTTTTCTCAAAATTATGAGCGATACAACAATCCAATCAAGATTTTTTACAATTTGCTCTTCACTCTAGGTTATGCAATGCTTTCTAAACTTTGTAATATGAAAAGTTTGTCCGATGATGATGAAGTCGCATATACACAAGAAACAAGTTCTAGTATCTGCCTGGATGCGTGTTCTTTACAGTAGTATTGAAAATTGGATGAAGTTATTACCAGAAGTAAGCATTCTTTTTCATAGAATTATGATTTCCTGTTATAAAATCAGTACTAAAATTGTTTTATCATTTTTAGAAATTAACTTCCATGAATCGTACTGCAGACAGTATCAAAAATCCATTATTCAGATTTTTCGATCGTGAAAATCAAATAGGTCGCGCTCTTCTCAAGAAAATACGTCAAGACTCAAGGAAGTTTGCGATGGTGAACTTAAGCAAACTAATCATTTGCGTATGTTATTGAATTGCTTAACGAAAGGTTTGTATATTTAATTTTCCTATATTATCTGTATTATTTTCATTTTTGACAAATTAAAGACTCATTCTTTATTTAGATATTTTAATTTATTAGGTAATATAAAGTTCCAAAAACTTTTCACTTAATCATTGGGTAGCAGAATTTAAGAGTCGTTTACAACAACTTGAAAGCATTACTAGAGAGTCTCATTATGGAGGATTAAGTTATGATAGGAGGTCTTTTCATGCCTGAAGCATATGTCACAGCCACACGTCAAGAAGTAGCACAATCGCACAAATGGTCACTAGAAGAATTAAGGTTAGAAATCGACCTTAACAGAAAAGGAGATAAAGATTCACAGGATTAAAGCTTGCTAGTATGTAAATGATGAGTAAAAATTTTATTAATGAATTTTTAACAAGACTTTTAACTGATTATATTAATTTCAAATTAATTCAGGTTTATATGATGAAAATAATTATTTATTGGCTTATTACACTATCTTGTATTACAAGGGAGTTGTTAGACTGCATGTAGTGTCAAAGGTATTATTTATTAAAATAATTACGTTATTTTATGTCTTTTGGTTTCTACACTATCTTGTATTATAAGGGAGGCAGTTGTTTAACTGCATGTAGGGCCAATTAATTTTTCTGATAAATTTATATGATGAAAAAGTATTATTTATTAAAATAATTATGTGATTTTATGTCTTTTGGCTTTTACACTATTTTTATTACAAGGGAGGTAGTCGTTAGACTGGACCAATTACTTTTTCTGATAAATTTATATGAAAAAGTATTATTTATTAATATAATTATATGAATTTATGACTTTTGGCTTTTACATTATCTTGTATTACAAGGAAGGTAGTTGTTAGATTACATGTAGGGCCAATTAATTTTTCTGATAAATTTATATGATAAAAAAGTATTATTATTAAAATAATTACATAATTTATGTCTTTTGGTTTTTACACTATCTTGTATTATAAGAGATGCAGTTGTTAGACTCATGTAGTATTAATTTTTCTGATGTTTATAATGTTTATTAATGAAAAATTTTTTATATTAATTTAAGAATTATTATAAGAAGCAGTATATAAAATTCACGTGTACAATATACACATAAGTACATCAAAATTTTTTTGTGTACAAATAACATCACAAATGTACATATTTTGTACATAAAATTATTTTTTGCACATTTTGTGTACATTAATAACATATCATATATTAAGCACATATTGCGCATATATTGTGCTTTTGTAGGCTAAATTTTTTTATGATATAAAACTTCTCTTTTATAGTTTTGAAGATTGGACAATTGGATTAATTAATTTAAGTATATAGAAGAGAGTTAGTATTAATTTCATTAAAGGAAACATTAATACTTTTCTTTTTTTCTTTAAGATACTGAAAAACTTTTTTTATAGAAACATTGGATTGAAACAAAGTAAGCAAGTAAATGAATGAATAAGGATATGTGAATGGAAGTGTGTGAATAAAGGTGGGTGTTAATAAGAAATGTTTTTAATATTCTTTCTTTTTATAGAATGCTGGACTTCTTAAACAATTAAACTTCACAGTGTTAGTGATAATCTGTTTGTGCAACTAAATGATTGCGCCAATTAACGTCACTAATGATCACCAGAAAAATTATGATCATCATTTTCACCGATTTCACTGTTATCACAGTTATCCTTATGATATTCATTTTTATTATTATTATGTTTATCATTATTTTATTTATTATCTTTATTTTCATAGTTATATTTACTTTCACTATTATATTTATTATCTCTATCTTATAATTGTATTTTATATAAATATCCTGTATTGTCGCCTTGACAAACTAACAAGTTTCAATCGTACAATTAATAAAGTATAATCTTAATAACATAAAAACTATATCTTTGTCAATATCTATTTCCTTAAAACATAAATCATCAATAAAAACGACCTGACCCTTCAACTTAAATAAATTTGTATTTATTTCTTTCATAGTTTTACAACTTAAACTCCCTGTTAGCAAATAAGCTTTGTTATCCTAATGACATAGTATTTAAGCTTAACAACGGTAAGTATTATTAAGTGTAATAAGTGTAATAATGATATTATGAAAATAACTTTAATATTATTTTTATTTATTTAGTTTTTTGAATGAAATAGTGGAATTATAATAGTAATTTAATAAATCAATAATCTGGTTATATCAATTCAGATTAAGAATTATTGCTGAATTTTTTGAAATATTTTTTTCTTACATGTTTTTCCTATATATTTTTTTTACACATCACTCACTTTAATTTTAATAAATAATTTTTAGTAATTTTAATAAATTTTTAATTAAAATGTAACAAATAACAAATTTTTTTATAACTGTTAACTTAATCGATACTACTTTTCTATTTATGTCACAACCTAATTCATCATATACTTCTTCTAGATATAGTTCTCGCAATCATGATAATAATAAAAAAATTACAATATACCTAAATAAAAAAGAAAAATTCAAAATTCTGATCATTTAAAAAAAGAAAATTTAACTTTTAAATCATCTTGACAAATAGGATGACCTTAATTAGAATATCAAATTATTGACAATAAAAATAATACAAAAATTTAGTTAAATATAAAAAATTCTTTGCAAATTCTTAATTCAAACCAAACTGATATTAAAGAAGATATGAATCAAATGTTAGAAATGGGCATAGATAATGTAGTTACTCAAATGTGTAATATTTACTTTCTAAAATATTGCTATTAATATTTATTCTGATTTAGCTAATTTGGTTAATTATCAAAAAGAACATCCTACTTCTATAGTTAGTGATATTTCTTTACAAATACTTCAACTACTAATTTTACTATAGTATAATCAACAAGAAAACATCTAAATCTATTATGCAATATATACAAATAAAGTTAGTAGACATAAATTATTAATATTTTTAACACAACCAATTGAAGAAGCAGTAATTAATAAAATAAAATTATCATCATATTGGAATTTATTAGTAGATAAAAGTAACATAGTATCAAAAGATAAAAAAATATTAGCTCTAGTTTTAAAACATATGGTTAATAATATTCCAACCTTACATTATTTAGAAATTACTGCAGTATCTGATACTTCTGCAGAATCATTACTTAAAGCAATTGATTTATTTATTTTACAAAAAGGATTACCTGCAAATAAATAATATCATTTAGAAAGTAATGAGGCATCAAATATAATAGGTTTATATTTAATTAAGAATTTATTAATTAATAATTTTATAATATATTAATTAATAATTAATTATTTATAGGAGTTAGAAATGGGTTAGCTGCTTTATTAAAAAAAAAAATCATTATTTATTTTTAAATCATTGTATTGCATATCATTTATATTTAGCAGTTGAAAATGCTACAAAAGAAGTTTCTTATTTTAATAGTTATAAGAAAATAGTTAAATTTATTTACACATATTTTTCTAATTCTTCCAAACGAATGTATAAATTAAAATCAATATAAGAAAGTAGTAAAAATCCTAATTTAGCAATTTTAAATATTATTGATACAAAATGACTTTCTTAAGCAATGGTTATTAATAATTTTCATCAAATTATTAATGATATTCATTTAGTATTAATTTAATAAAAAAAAACAAATTTAGTAGCTAATTTTTTACACCAAGCATTTACAATAGAATTTTATATTTTACAAAATTTTTGGCTAATATTCTTTTAATTTTAAAATCTATAAATTTAGTTTTCCAATCAAATTATGTATCTTTCGATGAAACTCGTCAACAATTATTAATGACAATTAAATTTATAATATCAGATTTTATTGAAAATAAAAATTTTTTACCACATTATGATATTTATTTAGCTAATTATATTAATGAATATAATTTATCAGGTGATGATTTACCAAATAAATTCATTTATTTTTGATTTTAAAATAATTATATAATATAATAATTTATATTTTATTTATATTTTTATAATTATTATTAATACATTTGCATAAGCAACTATCAAAAGTTTATGAATTAGATTTCCAGACTTTGTTTTATATTATTTAATGAGAATTTTAGGTCCAAGTGAAGCTTCTAATAATCATGATAAATTAAATACTTACAGAGAAAATGAAATTAAAATTTTAATAGAATTTTATGAAAAAGCTAAAAAAAATGAAAGCAATACTATATATGAAGCTATATTAGATAGAAATATTCTAATTAGAAAATGGAGAATGACTCATAATATTATTTGTGATTATAAAGATTTTTAATTTATTAAAGCATAATATCATATTTTTGATAATAATAATAATTTTATAATCAATTTTATAATTTAACAAAACTTGTTATTATTAAATATGTATTTTTATATCAAAATTTAATTAAGATTAATTTGCGTAATAATATGTCAAATTAAACATTAAATCATCATTTACTTTTTTCTTTAAATGATTCTAAAGATTTTAGAAATTATAATTATGTAAAAGCATATACTTTTTGAAATGGTGTTTCTAGATTTAATCTAAAGTAGTTATAATTACTAGTTAATTTTTTTTTGTAATCTTTTTTTTTGATTTTTATAAATAAATATTATAAATTAATATTAAATACATTTTTTTCAATTATTTAATAATATACATATTATACATATACTATTTTTAGAAAAAATTTGTGCACATTAAAATTACTTTGTGCACATATGATATTATAAAAATATACATATTTTACACATGATTTTTGGTTTAAATTTTATATACTGATAAGAAGTATTAAATATTTTATGAAATAATAAATGAAAATTTACAATTTTTTATTGATAAAATTTTTATATTAATACTAAAACTTACAATTATTTTATAAAATTTATATTAAGTACTTGTTAATTATTTATCAAAATAAAAATAAAGATTATAAAAAATTCTAAATCTTTTCAAAAATTATAAAGGCAAGTTTTTCAAAAATACCTTTAAATATTATTATTAATGATATTAAATTAAAGTGAAATGTATTTTATTATAAAAATGAAAGATATGCATTTATACTAATTTTTAAATAATTATATTATTATTATTTAATAAAAAATAAAGATCTTAATAATATAGTATTATTTAATGTTACATTATGAATACTAAAAATATTAAGAAAATTATCAATATAAATCTAGCAAATTATTTTTTAATTTATATCAAATTTAATTTTTTGAAAATTTAATGATTAATTTAATATTTATGAAATAACTATTTTAAATTAAATACATTTAATTGATCTTAGAATAATGAAATATCTTTTAGAATTTACTTGTATTTAATTACAATTAAAAATAATAATAAAGCTGTTAAAAAAAATAAATTATAG